ATTTCCCCAAATGTAAGGTTGTACAGTATGATTAAAACATATGGCATAACAATGCACACAGTTCTTACAGCACCATATTTCTATACACTTTTTATGCAAGACTGAACATTTTATCATAAACATTCAATGTAAAATGTTTACCTGTCAAAAGTTGCAAAGAGAGTATGGAAGGATGACCAATATTTATAAAAGGCTGAAAATTGGCATTTTCAAAAGTCAAGAAACTTCGTCACTTCGTAATAATTTACAATTTCTCTTTGTATACGCTGAAAATTTAGTTCTTTTCTGCTACATCTGTAAATTGATCGTTTAAAAATCAAGCATATTGCATTTAAGGGGTTATTATTTTTCCCCCTAAATCCAAAAATTATGTTTTCATTTGAAAAAAGTATGGTGCCTTCAGAAATCAGAATGAGCCAATCAGTCATCTTTTTCCATATTCCTTTGATATGTTCACATTCACAAAGTAAATGAATAATTGTTTCAGGTACATTAGCACAAAAAGTACACGATGGAGAATCAATATATTTTATCTGAAAGAGATATTTATTTGTAGCTAAAATATTCTTTAATGTTTTTAATTGAAACCATTGTAAATTAACACTTTTTGTACATCTATAAGACATAAGATTAAAATTTATGAGTTCATCTTCATTATATGTCTTATTAAACATATTTTCCCATCTTATTTGACTTTGCGTTTTTGTAAATTTTATGTCACACAAGGTTACATAAAAGGATTTACAACCTTTCTTGGATATTCCCAGACATTTCAAATTGAAAGGGAGAAAAGGACACATCAATTTTCCTGACTGTCTTTCAGTATATTTCAAAATTGCTGATTTTAGTCCTTGATATCTCAAAAATTCAATTTGGAAGTCATGTTTCAACTGAAATTCGTCCAAGCTTCCATCAACACATATGTTATTGTTGTACCATACTGATTGGGATAGAGTATCTGAAAAATTATTAACTTTCTGGTATTTTTTTGGTAAGAAATCTACCCATACATTAAAAACATCAAGCCAAAAGACATTTGAGATACATGGTAACACAATTTTTCTAAGATATCCTGGATCAGCTAAACAAAGATTTCTAAAGCTAATCATGTTATCTGATATGTATCTAAACCATTTTGGGCTTTTATTTAGTCTTCTTATCCAACTAAGTTTTTGAGCTGCTATAACATGTCTTATGTCTGGGACATTTATACCTCCAATTTTGGGTGGTGCTACCATAACATTTCTTTTAACTTTGTCTCTTTTACCTTTCCAAATGAATTGAAAGCACTTTTTCTGAAAACCTTTTATAAATTCTTTTGATGGATTAGGTAATGAGCTGAAAAAATGGTTTAACCTCGGGAGGAGAATTGATTTGAGAATTACATTTCTACCCATAGGGGTTACATTTCTGATTTGCCATATTTTCTATATTGTCTAAGTCTATGTCAAAGTCCACTCCCAATAATTTGAAACTTGTTTGCGTCCAATCAAACTTACATTCCTTGCATAGTTTTATACGGGATCTTTTCTTCGACCCTATCCATATTAACTTAGTTTTGTCAGCATTAACCTTGAGTCCTGAAAATCTAGCAAAATTCTTTTCAAGTATTTAGAACTGCATACATTCCCTTTTCTGATCCATCTAGTATAAGTGTGGTATCATCAGCAAATTGTTCTAACATAGGTTCTATATTTCCCATTCTGATTCCTTTTATATTTTGATTCTTTCTTAACATGAGGGCTAAAATCTCAACACATAAAATGAATATATAGGGGGGTACTGGATCGCCCTGACGACAGCCTCTTGCTATTGGAAAAAAGGAACTACATAACCATTAACTAATACACTTGATTCAATTCCATTAAAAAAAGCGAGATCCAGTTTTGTATGCTTGGTCCAAAATTAAAGAAATGTAATACATTTTTTATAAATTTTCTATCAACGGAATCAAATGCTTTCTCAAAGTCTACAAGTAGGAGGAGACCTGGGATTTGATAAGTTTCTGTATAATCCATCAGATCATATGCAAGTCTGGTTATCTCACCTATGTATCTACCTTCAACAAATCCCTTTTGATCCTCATTTATAATTTCTGGTAGCACAGTTTTGATTCTATTTGCAATTGCTGTCGAGGCTAATTTATATGATGTATCTCCAGTTTTTAAGAAATTGTTTTGGCTTGTTTTCTTTGGCATACATGTTATTAAACCTTGTTTCTGTGATACAGATAGTGAACCTGATCTGTAGGCATAGTTTAAGGACTTTATTAGAAATTTCCCTAGGTCTCTCCAAAAGAATTTAATAAATTCTGCGGTATAGCCATCTGGTCCTGGGCTTTTACTATTTTTAGTATTCCTAAGTGCTCGTTGTATTTCTCTCCATCTGTTAATTCACCTTCCAGGGATTCAGATAAACTATTGGTCTAGTTAGGAACAAAGGAATCTTTAAAAAGGTCATCCAGATCTATTTGAGTACAATCTTCACCTGCGTATAATTTTTTATAGTATGCTTTAGTTTCATCAAGTATTTCTTCTTGTTTGGTCAATTCAGTTCCATCATTTTTTGTCAAAAGCTTAATGGATTTGTTTAAATAATTTCTAAATTGTTTATTAATCATTAAACTGTGAAAACCAATTGAGATATTGTTTCATTTCTTCGGTATGCATCATTATTTAGATTTAATGATGTTACAGTTTAGTCATTTTAAATTATCTTGCATACTTTCTGTTTTAATCTTTGAATAAAGTGATGAAACTTCAATACTGTATACATGAATTTAAGTTTGATGCCAAAGTAGAATTTAGTCAAATCCGTCATGTCAAATTATTAAATATTTATCAATTTTTATTTCAAGAATATAAATGATGCTATATCTAAATGAGTGTGGTTGTATTTTCTATTTTAAAAAGTTATGAAAATATGTTTAATATTTTATCTGTACATTGTAATTTCAAATTTGTAATTTGGATACATTTATATATTGCATCAATCATGAAGTTATTAATTTAAAACAAATGACTTTAATCTTTCAGACTAGAATGATGCCCGAAGCCCACACTGGTTCCAACATTGCTGAAGTGCTCACTCAAACAATTGCTGAATGGCAGCTGAATCTCCTGAAAGTTTAGTGACAGATAATGCTGCTAACGTGGGTGTTGCTGCCAAGGAAACTGGTTTCCCCATCCACATTGCATGTTTTGCACACACATTGAACCTAGCCTGTGGGAAAGCCCTCAAGATAAGTTCTATTTCAAAGCTACTTGCCAAAATGAGAAAGCATATCTCATACTTTCATCGAAGTAAAACTGCTGCGGCAGTGTTGAAACAAACTCACGAGATGTTAAACCTGCCTAGACACAAACCGCTTTCAGATTGTCCCACAAGATGGAACTCTGCTGTAGATATGATGGAGAGATATCTTGAGCAACACCCAGCAGTCATATCAGCACTGACATCAAAAGACTTGAGAGGGAAGGCACATGAAACATCCCTGAGTGACACTGACTTGACAAATGCTGAAGAGTTACTTACAATGTTAAAACCACTGAAAACTGCAACAGTGGCCTTGTGTTAGGAAAAGGTTCCCACACTATCAATTGTGTTACCTTTTTAATTCCAGTTGATAAATAACATTCTGAGACAGAAGGAAGATGATTCAGCGCTAGTAAGACACGCTAAGGTAGCTGTTCTGGAGATTTGGAGGCAAGATAGAGTGATGGCACTGTGAAATGTCACATTTCGAAAGCCACTCTGTTAGACCCTCGATTCAAGTTTGCGCCCTTTCTGCCAGAAGACGATCTGATGATGGGCCACCTTTGCCTGATGTGCCGTCTGCAGATCAGACACAAGTGAGCCCTGAACATGTTGCTGTTGACACAGATTCAGATGAAACAGACCCAGTTCCTAAATCAAAAATCCCTAAAGTTGAGCCTGGATTAGGTAAAGCAGATGGTGTGGGAGCCTGTGCTATGACAAGTTTGTTTGGAGATGTCTTCATAGTGAAAACTGAACAGCCAAAACCTTTCATTGAGAGAGCAGAGGATCACATCAAACAGTACATAAAGCTGGAGCCAATGAGACACTCTCATAACCAACTGATTTGGTGGAGGGAGCATGTTGCAGAGTTTAGTGTTTTATCCTGCCTCGTAAAAAATTACTTATCAATACCTGCCACTTCTGTCCCATCAGAAAGAGTGTTCTCAACTGCAGGGGACATTCTGTCTGCACAGAGATCAGCATAAAAATCAGAGCATGTTGACAAGTTACTATTCCTGAAAAAGAACTTGAAAACTAAGTAACTGAATATTGTGAAAACTACTCACATCTGAAACAACAAGACATTCGATAATACTAGAGATGTAAAACAGACAAATGACAATAAAACACTGTTTATTTCAGAAATTGTGTTATTCTGTTTATTTATAAACTATCGCAATCACTTTCGCAATAGTAGGTCGCAATAGACTATCGCTATCGCAATAGTTGTTCGCAATAGACTATCGCTATCGCAATAGTCCCCTGTGGGTAAATAGTCACCCCTAGATTGCACAAGTCGTCGGATTTTGGCTTGGGAATTCTTCGCTATTCCTCCTGCGGTACGTAAGTCCAAAAACATTCAAATTCAGTTTAAATATATCCAACCTTTTTAAGAATATGTGTCTTTTTAATGTATGGCTAAATGTGTCTAAACTACTAACGGCTGAAGGGATAGTGCAAATTCAGCTAGGGTCCGTGCAGGAAGGAAATGTACTGTAAGTTACTATGGTCGCTAGAATGGTGATCTACCTTCAGTTGTTGGCGATAAATATAGCCCATTTTTACATTGTATTGTCCAAAATTGTTTTCTACTTTTAAAGATATATGTTAGCTAGTTCTAAGTCATTTTGTGATAATCTAGAATTTTTTCTGTCTTTCGTTGACAGGGTTTTATATATTATATGTATGTATTATGAATTTAGAACTAGTTTTAGTCACGATATGGCTGACATATTGCCGAGGTGACAATAAAACTTACTCACTCACTCACTAATCCTCCTGCATCGCGTTGGCAGGTTCTGCAAGTATCTGAGGACGATGGTGACGTTTACGGACGCGTCGATCAGGTTCGTCCCATAGATACACGATCGGGTTCAGATCAAGCGATTTGGGAGGCCAGGGAGGAGACTGACGTTTGCATTGACGACATAGGCACTTGTTACGCGAGCTGTGTGGGGTCGAGCGTTGTCGTGTTGAAACAGCTCCCCCTGGCGGTTAAAAAGTGGGAGGAGGTGAGGTCGCCGGTTTTGGTTGATGTAGCGTTTTGCTGAAGATTGCCTTGACCCACAAGCAACCCTGATCTACCCGTGTAGGACATGGCTACCCACACCAGGACGCTTTCTCTACCAAATCTGTCCACCTGTCGAACGCAGTTCGGAGCCAAACGTTCGTGTTGACGTCGATAGACACGGTGTCTCCCATACCGTCGCTGCAGGAGGAAACTCGATTCATCGCTCAACCAAACGCGTTCCATGCGTTCCCAATGTTCCAGGCCTTACCCTGTTGAACCATTGGACACGTCCTTGTCGGTGTAGTCATGTCAGGACAGGTCCAACTTTTGGTCGATATGCTCAAATTCCCACTTCTCTCAGACGATGTGTGATGTTTGGTACCAGGTACCCGTCCTGCAGTGTCCGTTGTTGTAGCAAATCGGTGACATAGGTGAAACACCCGGATGAATCGGTCCTGAGCAGGAGATGTCACTCTTGGTCGTCCACCTTTGGGACGATCTTGGGTCCAATTGAAGAGGGTGTATCGATGTCAAGTTCGAGATATGGTGCTGTGGTGGACGTTGAAATACCTTGCAACGGCAGACTGGGACTCCCCTGCTTCCAAGCGTCCAATGGCGATATTTCGGTCAGTTGAATTCGGTCATTGGCATTTTTTATCTTCGTCTACGTCGTTAATTTCGTAAAGAAATGGTGAATTGCCTTATATATCGACGTCTCTACTCATGTTTCCGACATATAGCACGTACATTACATTAACCAATTTTTCTGCATGCACTTCTCATGTATCGTTTTCATGTTTTTACAAGCGTTTACAAGCACATTTTGAGATGCGTTTGCGCGCAATACACAACAACCATGACATGATTAACAGGAGTCGAACATACCTATTGTCTGTATGAGGATTGCTGTCAAAATATATCGAAACGAACTGCGATTCTTTTGTTTTCTTTTTTCTTTTTTCTTCTTTTTTTTTTTTTGAAGAGTGTATCATAATGTGATATTGCCTTTAAGTACAATTGTAATGAATGAATATAAATAAATTCATTGGACAGATAAATACGTCTTCATATATCAAAGCCAGAAAATATTCTGATAATCATGAGAAATTGCTCAAAGTAGATGTGTATATCGGATGTTTCTACCAGACTTAGTATTTATCGATCAAAAAAGAAAATGGTGTGTCAGCTGCATGACATATACATTACTGTAACTGGCAAAGTATGAATCATAGAGCTAGATTTCCTGGGGCACCCGTCCCCAATGACGAGAACAGTAGCTGTGTGAGTTACATGACAGTCATGAATGTGATTCCCTTTCACTGACAATAGCCACACGAGCAGGAAACAGGAGACACGCAATCATCCTACTCTCTGAGAGATCGGATTCCGTTTCAGGATTGTTAAGTTATGGCTGAAAAACTTTTCGAAGAGGAAAACCATACTTCAGGCTTTGTTAATAGTGTATTACATGGCAAAAAGTTATTGAGAGTACCAAAACATAATTTAGTCTACTACAGATGGCCTAGACTAAAGACTTAGATTTACTTACATTCCCAAATCCTTAAAGTATTTCTCATTAGATACAATTTCAGCTCATTTTACTCACCACACCTACACATTCGGGAAAAGGACACTTATGTCTGCACTATTCCCTTCTTTGCCGATCTGATTTTATCTGTCTGTATAAGAAATTATACTTCAGCTTCAAGTAGCCAAGGTCTGATTGCAATTAAATGTGGTCAAATACACATTTAACTTCCACTGATTTCCCCACCTGTACTAGAATTTAAAGACACTACTGGCATTGCTTCATCAGCTTAGATATGCAAAACTATTCAGGATGACAAGAGGCTAATAACAAAATCTGTGAAGAGAGGATGACTTCACCTTTCATGTAGACATAATTGCCTTCATGTGGATCAATATTTCGGGAGCTCTGGTCATGAATGGCGGCATGTTTCAACGCTTGTGGTACAATCGAGAATGCGTTATGCGACTGATGCTCAAAAGTTGCTAGATGAGAGTTAGAGCATTCGATGCCTTAGATATGATTGCAAAAGTTTCTTGGATGACATATCAAAATTTGACGCATCAGTGACCAAGGGTTTGTCGGACTCTGATCCTTTCGTCCTTATGACTGACATGGAATCTGGACTCGTCAGTAAAGAGAACACCTTCCCACTGGCTAAGGATCCAACTCCGATACGTCCACAGTGCACGTTGTTATCGGTGTCTCTGAGTCAGTATCGGTCCAACATGGGCCCTACGCCCACACAGCCCAAGTTGACGTAATCGCGGTTGTATCGTCTGGGGACTGATGATTCCCGTTCTTCCACATGGTTGCTCGGGTGTGGTCGATCACGTGTTTTTGTAAGATTGCTGTAGGCGCTGTGATAGCCTGATGAATTTTTAATTGTGGCAATTAAACCTTTTGGCCACTTGACCTGTAGACAAACCAGCCTCAAGAAACCAAACAGCCCATTTGTCTCTGAAGAGCTGATAGACATGTCATTATGTAAAGTCAACGATTTAGTGCTGTTCACAATTTAGGTGTGATTTTAGCCTACAGTTGAACGATCTGTCGATGTGTTGTGGAACCGCCACGTATTATGCATTTTCACACATTTTTAGGTGAAAATGAGATTTTCAGCAAATGGTGAGTCACTGTCTCAGAGGTATGTATGTGTTTCTCTGCTTGTCTGACATATACTACAAACAAAAAGTATGGAAACACTCTAAAATTTGATAGTCATATATAAACTGGTGAGGTCATTTATACTCTTAGGTAAATGCAACTCTTTGTGTGCTTAATGGATACTTTAAACGACATGCAGTGAAGCAACTGATTTAATATTCGTTGAGTTTGAGAGAAACGAAACATTGTCAAAACCAGCGAAAACAAGGGTGCTGAAACACACCAGCACAATGTTTGATTCAAACGCCCAAACACAACAGCCTAGTGCATGTGGAAGGGTGTTCCCATACTTTTTGTTTGTAGTATTGCCACTCTAGTCACTCTTTTTATATGTAGCGCTTTGAGCATGCTCTGGATGGACTATGGCGCATAAGAAATATCCATTTATTATTATTATTATTATTATTAGTATATATAGTCAGATTACTTCAAGCACAGTTTGGGGTCAAAATTCGTTTTGCAAATTCCATAATCAATGATAATTTATTTCAGTATATTAGTGATCTATAGGGTTTTTTATCAAATCGGGACGGTGAGGTAGACTGGTGGTTAAAGCGTTCGCTCGTCACGCCAAAGATCTGTGTTCGATTCCCCGCATGGGTACAATGTGTTAAGCCTTAAAATAGTGAGTAAAACCATACCCACTCATTTCATCAAATTATTAATCACAATTCTGAAAGGTCACCGATTAACCGAGAATCGTTTGGAATGTTTTAGAAAATACACAAACACGGCGATCGCCAAAGTGAGCTTTCCGCCACTAGGGAATGTTTTTGAGAAAGTCGGTCATGAGACAATCTATTACATCACGTATATCAGCTGCGACAAGTACACCACTGAATTCCTCATACATTTTTAGAATAAAATGGCACATGGGCCGTGTCCAGTACCAAGTGTACAGATGAAGTTAAATAAAACAGTTTAGGTCGGAAAACGAACGCTGTAGTCGGAAGACAGCGCCTGTTCGAAATGAAACGAAGAATACTTCAGATTGTACACTGTGCATAGATCCATTCGTCTATTCCTTTCATATATAGAACCTCAATATCTTTAGAATATGCATTGGGAGTGTATTGTAGAAAAAAGTAGGCAAATTGAACACGGATACAATACAATGTTTGGTAAATTCAAACGAAATTGTTGAGGTTTTCGTGGACATTAACGGAACTTCTGACATCTCCTGTGCAAACAGTACAATCAAGTAACACTACGCAGATTGTCAGAATGTTTTTGATGACGTACATCACATATTTTGTACAAATGGTCCCTGAATCATGGAAAGGTCCCTCACAAAATTGTCTGTGAACACATTATTTAGTAAACAAAATTGGTCATCGGTGAAGAAGGGCACCCATGAAGGGCCACCTCCTCGTGGTGGGTGCTGGGTCACGCTAAGCGCCCTTCAACCCCCCGTTGTGGACCCGGGGGCATATTTGGTTCACCAACCTGTTTGCCGTGGGTTGCGCCCCTGTGTCGGTGGAGGACGGGATTCTGGTGGTTGAGGGCAATAGGTTCCTGGAACCGTGTTCCTTTTGCCCAACACACCACTTTGACCCTTACTTCACCTAGACGGGTGGTAGAACTGGCCCGGTTCTATCAATCGGCTGGTCATGTCATGCCCTGTGTTGGACATTTCCATATTTGGAGTCTAATATCGTATTTTTGTGTGTTTTGGGTTTAACATTTTCGAAATATTTCACCGGTTTTGCCTAGAGTCCTACGTCAGAAGGCGGTGGCTCATGGGCCAATCTGGTTAATGTCAACCTCCGAATTCTATATGTCTCCAAATTTCTGTTATGTGCAGAACCAGCTGGACAGTCACTTTGGTAGATAAATATAGCTATTCGTGTTACATTTGCTGGAGTATGGCAAACTCGTAGCCCTGATGATGCAGACTGGGTTCCTCTGCAATATCGTCCTCTGCTGACACTCGATGGCGGGTGGGGAGCAAGTTTGCTGAAAAATATTATATCACCATGTCTCTCACTCAACTCTCTGGTTCGTCGAAAAACAAACGTCGTCATGTCGATTCTGTATCGTCTGATGA